TGTGCCTCTGGGGTGCTTCGCTTCCCCCTCTGCCCACCCGCAACTGGGCCTGGTTCGATTTCTTTTTACACGTCGGTCCAAGGAGGACCTCCACCGCTGAGGATTCCCCAAACCTCAGGTTTCTTAGCCCCTCTGCTGAAGCCGAAAGGAGGGGCAGCCGTGCCTTTGGAGAGGGCCTGTTTGGGCCAGAGAAGCTCCTTTGAGACAAATTCCTCTTTGGAACGGCCCCAACAGCTCCTGTTCGCACCTCGCTGAAGACCCCGGAAAGCCACGACCACTCGCGGAGTGTGCGGGCCCTGAGCTGTGAGAATGAGGCATCCACGCGGCTTCTGGGAACCCCCCTTCCTCCTCTTCCTCCTCTACTCCAGGTGGATTGCGTTTAGTTGGAACTCTCCACTATGTCCTGTCCGTCTTGGGTGTCCCTGCACGGCATAGCCCATAGCTTCTCTGAGTTACTCAAGCCCCTTCGCCACGACAAGGCAGCATATTACAAATATTTATAAAATATTTGCAAATTACAAAAATTAATGATAAGAGGAAGGCACAGTGGAAGTTTCTCATGCAAAGCCCAAATGGTTTCCTAAAAGGCTTATAATTAATTTAGGATGACTCTAACCTAAATAGCCTTTAAAAGTAAGTAGAAGACATTAATTGTCACAGCTGAATCTGGGGCCGTAACAAACCATTATCTTAACATTTTAACTTGTTTTAATTTTACCTATACATCATATATGTCTATGATTTTAAATTGTGCAATGCTCTGATACCAATAAAGAAAGAGGGACCAGGGAGTTTCTACGGCTCAACAGGAATTCGAACCCAGAACCTAGCCTGTCACTCTATCCACTGCACCACACAGAGTATTCCCACAGATGCCATTACCACATAATAAAAGAGAGACAGAAGTACATTATATTTTAAAATGCTCATATATTTTCTTTTTTTACCTTTTTAAAACAATTCTAATACATTTCTTCAAAATACTGGTATTTCCAGCAGATTTTTTTTTATTTACTTTATTTTATTTTTATTTAGTGAACAATAATATACGGTAGTGATTTCACAGTAGAGTAGACCTGCAGGGTAACGCTGCCGGCAGGCAGTGGGCGGGGGATGCAACAAAAGGCCATATTTTGTGTTTCCAAAGGTAGCCGCGGGAATAAAAATCCGTTTGTTTGAAAGAGAATGATTTCCGGATAAAGAGGTTTTCAACACGATCGAAAAGTTATCCTTTGTTCCTGACAGGTGTGCTTAGAGCTGAACATATTAATGAGGTTTAGAACAAATTCTATAAAAGCAGAAAAAAAACAACCCCCCTCCCCAAAAACCAAACCCATTTTCTCCCCCCCCCCAAGAATATGCAAGGGATAAAATTACATTTGTACAAAAATAGATATTTTAACTCTATTGACGTTTTAGATATTTTGCATACCTTCTCTCTCTTTTTAAAATTTCCTTTTAATTGTTCTTCCTGCAATCCCTTCTAAGTGTCTTTCTTTCTGCTTTTTTTTCTCTCTGCTCAAGCTACGCAATCTATATGGCGAAGGCATCCCGTTTTCCTAAGTGCTGAGAATGGCTAAAGCGGCTGTTCCCTCTGCCTCCTGCTTCTCCTCTCCGCTGTTTAACCATCCGTCTTCCTTCCTTCCAAGGCATCGTAAAATAGATGCAACATTTACTTCTCTCCTTGGATTGCAAAGATCTCACGTTGGTGACTGTCAGCTCGGGACAGGGCAGAGGCCGGACTGTGAGCTTCCAATCAAAAATACAGTAGGACCCTTGTATCCACGGGTTCACTTATCCACGGCTTGAAAATAGTAAAAGAAATATCCTAGAAATATATATATATTTCTAATGATGAAATTACCAGAACTGGCCACTAGAGGGAGCCAGAGACCATGCTACGTTTAGCATTTGCTATTATCCGCATTTTTTCAGCATCAGCGGTGGTGGTGGGGCCTTGGAACTGATCCCCCGTGGATACAGGGGTCCAGCAGCATGTTTTGACAGAACAGCCGATACATGTTGTATTTGCTTTCATAAAGCAAATCATAAAATGGAGGTTGGGGTGGGGATCAGAAATGAGGGAATTCAAAAATTTTAAAAAGAATGGAGAACAGAAAGGTAACACGAAAAGTGGGTACATTATATGTATATGTGAATGACGGTATTTATACAGTGTATATATCTACACTACATACATGGATACACACACATATGTATCAACTTAAAATGCAGAATGCAACTCCGTTAAGGACAAGGCGGTTGCCAGGCAGTGGGCCTTCGTTCTAGTGAAAGGGGTGAGATCGTTGGGTGGGTGGGCCAAGCAGCAGTTGGGGGCCAGCGGAGGTGAGGTGCTCCAGTATCAACACCAGCGAGTCACTGGTAATGCGGGCCTCCGGGGAGGCGTACGCCACTGCAGGCGACTCTTGAAGAGGGACCCTCGCCAAGTGCGCGCGCACGCACAGAAACCTGCCCCAGCAGCCTTGAACCAAGTTCTGCTCTTCCAAACCCTGCCCTCCCCTCCCTCACTAGTACCAGGGACACCCAAGAGATGACCCCCCCTCGGGTCTCCCATTCTGCCCTCCCTCCCCCACGACGGACTACAGAGTTCTCCAGACCTCTCGGGCGGCAGAAGGATGCCAACGAGCAGATGGGAAAGGAGGGAGAAAGCGCCCCAGGGTGAAGTCAACACGTCGGTTTCCAGCATTGCCTTGTAGGGCCGCAGAGACAAAACGGAGGGCTGACTGATATAGATATAAATGAAAATCAGGGTGTCCACAGTATTGGCTTTAAGGCTGCAGCAGCCGAGGTGGCAACGTCCGCCTGTCTCGCGGGGCTTTGGACCGATCTCCACCAAGAAAAGCAGCGTTCTCTGCCCCCACTCCCCCCCCATACTCACAAAGGAACCCCATAGGAGTCACCTGCCCTCCACGTGGGTCACTTCATGGCTCTGAAACGGCCCCACCAGCATGTTTTGACAGAACAGCCGATACATCAAGGACGGAAACCGGCCAAGCACCCGAGACCCATCAGGCAAAGGGGGTTCGTCTCTCTCCCGCCTTCTCCCCTTTTCAGCCGCCATTAAGATCTGAACGGTGGTGAGTTGGGGTCTTAGGACTCTTAAAACGCAAGCCGGCCGTCCCCCCACTTCCACACGTGGGACCTTTCCGGGAAGGGAAGGGGACGCGATTCTTCAAACCTCCTACCCCTGACTAAGGCCAGAGAGAGCGCCAGCCAGCGGAAGGGTTTCTAAGCACCAGCGAGCTGGCAACCGAGATGTCGGGGAAGGCCAGCGGGCACCCCTCGGCTCCCGCCGCCTGTCCTGCCGCGACTTCCCTCTGCGGGTGGCGGACGCGCCCTCGGTTTCCTGGGTCAGCAAAGCTGGGCAAGGATCTGAGCAACGGGCGAGATGGCCACGGGAGGGAGCGAGAACCCATGGAAACGCCAAATGGAAACCTTAAGGAAAGGGGCAGGCCTTTCGCCGGGCGGACGGATTCTTCCTGGAGTAAGGGTGGAAGGGAGGCTCTGGACGTCCCAATGAGCAGCAGTGGGAGCAACCTCGCCCTAAAACGCAGGATCTTACAAGGCATTTGCTTAACCGATCGGCTGCAGCTCGGTCAGCAGCGGGACCGGAATAGTTCGTGTCTGGCTGAGGAGTCCACGGGGGGCTGCCGTGGTCTGTACGGGGCATGGGTGTCACCATCTTCCAGACTCGCACTCAAAGGAACCTCCAGGGCAGGAACCAACCCCAACCACCTTGCTCTCGGCCCTGAGCCGGGGGGACGAAGACCAGCCGCCCTTTCTGCCTCCCTTCTGTCCAATCCACCAACTCCTTCAGTGTTTATTCGGCTTTCACACGCGCGCGCGCGCACAGTAGGGCACCCCAACCACTCTCGGCCCTGAGCCGGGGGATGAAGACCAGCCGCCTTTTCTGCCTCCCTTCAAAACAACCCAGTGGACCTTGCTAAGAGTCGCCGAGGCTTCCTTACACGGGAACGGTCCACAATCCCAACTCGCACACCCTAAAAACAACAACCCAGTGGACCTTGCTAAGAGTTGCCGAGGCTTCCTTACACGGGAACGGTCCAGCTTTCTTTCTGGACGTCTCGCAACAGCATCACGAGGAGAGAAGGCTGCAACTCGCCAAGCTTTGCCTGCCGACTTTAAGAGATGCCGCTGCCGGGCAACGGCGGCCTGCCTCCCTTTGAGGATCCCCTCGGCTCTGCCACCGCTCACCCGCCTCCCTGTTTCCTGCCCAAAAGGACGGCCTTTGTTCGGCCGGCGATGCGTCCTCTCCGTAGCACCTGCGCGCCCAGCCGAGCGGCTCGCTCCTGCTTTGAGGGCAGAAAAGGGACCCGGTCGCGCTGCAGAGGAGACGTGGTGGCGGAAAAGTCCCGGCTGCGTCACAACAGGGCGGGCCGCGGAAGGGGAGCCACCGAGGAGACCCTCCGAGAAGCGGGCCAGCCTGCCCCTGTTGGGGGGGGTCTTTCCCCCTGGAAAAGAGAGAGGGGGGACCTGGGGGGGGCTTTGCAGAATGAAAGGGACGGGTGGAGTTGCCGCCTTGAGAGCCGCAGCGTTAAAGCAGCCAAAGAAGACCATGTTTGGACGACACCCACGAAAGAGAAAAAGGGGGAGGGGAGGGAGGGAGGGGGGCTTGCCCGTCACACCCACACTCCCCCCCCCAACCACTGGAGGAGCCCGATCCGCTTTTCCAGACAGTCCTTTGCTCATAACTCAAAAATGGCTCCAGATTAACATCCCGGAATCGAGGTGAAGAGAATCACATTGGGGGGGGAAGAAAACCACAGGGTTTCCGTCTCGCCGCTTTTCCAAAATGGTGGGGGGTCGGCACCCGTTTCCTTCTCCCCGCAGTCTTATGGTCGGAAGCGAACCCTCTTCCACCTCGGATGACCCTGCGCAGTTGTGTGTGTGAGAGAGTGTGGGGGCGGTTGTGCGTGCGTGCCTGCGTGTATGTGTGTGTGTGTGTGTGTGTTGATTGTGTGTGTGAGAGAGCGTGGGGGTGGTTGTGTGTGCGTGCCTGCGTGTATGTGTGTGTGTTGGAGCAGGGGAACAACCGAAGCCACAAACATACAGGAGATGAGCAGGACCCGCCCTGCAGGCTGTTTAGAAACCCACTTCTGCCCAGGATTTGGGGGTGGGGGGGCAGTTGGAGCGCCAGGGAAGGAAGGCGCCCTTTGCACACTGAAAAGCCACATTGTCTCTCCGTCCGTGAAAGGGAGAGCAAAAGTCAATCATCCTATCCTCGAATGCGCAGAGGTGGCGAAAGCGGCAAACCGGCCAAGTCAACAGCATCACCCGACAGCATCACAGAGAGAGCAGCAGGCAGCGTCTCTTGCGCCCTGGATGAGGAGGAAGAGGAAGGCGGTGGTGGTGGCAGCGGAGGGACCGAGGTGTCACGGTGGAGGCGGCGGCGGCGGCCTGCTTGGACAGAAGAAGAAAAGGGGCGGATCCTTGCCTTTTAAGTCATTTGGTGAGGCGCTTCCAGCATCTCCATCAAGAACGTGTCGATCGGCGTGTCCCCGATGAGCTTGAAAAAGAAGAGGTGCTCCAGGCATTTCAGGCCGATGGATCGGAGGGCCGGCAGGCGGAGCAGGAGCTTCGCGAACCTGGAAAGGAACCAGGAGGGTGAGCGGGAAACGGCTCCCTCCCGTCGCCCCCGTCCCTGCCTCCCCCCTTCCTGGCGGGGGCCCTTCCTGCTCCCACCCAGCCAGTTCCAAGGGCATCCGAGTCACCTGACAGGCCAAAGTCACTGGAAAGGACACCGGGTGGGGGGGGAGGCACCAACAGCCCCCCCCGTGAGCTTTGGGAGCAAGACAGCGCACCCGAACACACACACACACACACACACCGGCGACCTGGACTCTGCTTGCACCCTTGCGGCTTTCCAAGCAGATTTGGAAAGAGGCTTCCTGGTTCCTCCCTGAGTCTCAGTGGGGCCCAAGCCTGTCCGTAAGATCAGCTTCCTGTCCCTGTCACCATCATCAATCATCATCATCATCATCATTTTAGGACTGCAGAGCTGAAACTGACCCTCTAGAAGATCACCCCGTCCAGCCCCCTGAGTCGGGGGAACGCCTCCCTGAGACAGCAGAGAGACCTCCCGTTCCAGGGGAAGCGAACGGCGCCTGGACTTTAGGAGAGCCGTCCGAGGTTCTGAATCTATGGTGAGGACAGGAGCTCAACACCTTTGGCAGCTCGGACGAGAACGGCCCTTGGAACGTTGCCCTGGCCACCCCCTCCGCGGCACCGCTCTGCTTGTTGAGAAGGAGACCGCCGCGCAAGGCCCTGAGTCGCGAGGGAGCAGCTTCCCTGGTGGGGCGCACTACGTGGCCTCAAAGAGACAACGGCTTACCTGCCCGGCTGGTCGGGGTATTTGTGTTTGCAGTAGGCCTCGAGCGACGCGTAGACCTTCTCGCGCAGGGCCTCCACCTCGGCCGGATTGGAAAGCCCCTTCGAGTCTGCAAGAGAGGAAAGTCGCCGAATGAAGCTAGGAAATCTGGGGGAAGTCCCAAGGGCTCTGGAAGTGGGGGGGGGGAGCTGACGGTTTTCAAGAATGCTTTAGGCTGAAACATTTAAGGCCGGCCCAGCCTCTGCCCTGTGAGGTGGGGGGGGGACAGGCTTTGGGGATTGGGGAAAAAATCCAGTTTCTGCCACCAAAGCAGAAAGGAGATTTGAGAGCTGGAACATGGAGTGGCAGGCCCACTCATTGGGAGATAAAGTGAAGGAAGCAGGAGGGAGGGGAAAGGCATTCTCGAAGGCTTTCACGGCCAGGATCCGATGGTTGTTGAAAGTTTTTTGGTCTGTTTGGCCATGTTCTGGAGGTTTTTCTTCCTACGTTCCACCAGTCTCTCCCCCTTATCACAACAATATACCCACAAAAAAATAAATAAATAAAAACAAAAACAAAAACAAACAAAACACCCTGATCACCATAATCACCCAATCTCCTGAACAGGACAAAAAGCTGATCCCACTGCTACAAGTATCCCCTACACTACACCAGAACACAGACACAGAGCTCGGTCCTCTGAAGCTGCCGGCCACAGAGCCTGGAGAAACGTTAGGAAGAAAAACCTCCAGAACAGGGCCAAACAGCCCAAAAAAAAATGTACAACAACCGAAAAACAAAGGCCCCGGATTAAATTATACAGGAGGCATCTCCCCCAAGGCATCGCTCCACTTCAGAGGATTTCGTAAGCAGCCAAATCCAATTACACTTTGATTAAATTCAGATTTTTGGGGTTGATTTCCTCTTGATTCCCCAAACATGGTTGTTCTTATCCTCGCCCCTGAGCGCGATCCGGTGCCACTCTGCCGGGGAGTTTAAGATGATCGGAGAAACAGCTAGCAAGGTTCGAGGCTGCCGCCCCGCCCGTCCCAAGATGGCTTTTTGGGAGGCAGGCTCCTCGTGTCGGGAAGCCCGGTGGCCCCTGGACGTGGCCTGATCGTGGGTGGGTGGGGGCCCTCCCCGGACAAGGCAAACCAGGCCCCGAGCAGAGGATCAAGGAGGGCGGAAAAAGGGGCTCCACCTACCGGGGTTGAAGAGGACGATGGCTCGTAGGCAGCCGAGCTCCGTCTTGTCCATCTGCATGTCCCTCATTTTCGACACGAGCTCCGTCAATACTCTGCGCGGACACAAGAAGTCAAGCCTAAGGGGCTGAGCCCACCTCCCTGAGCTTTGCAATTCTGCGTTTTTCACAGGGCAGCAAAAGCGAACTTGTGGAGTTGGAAACATCTTAAGCCAAGAACCCTTTGTTGGTCTGCCCTACTTTTAGTTGGTCTCTCCAATTTGTGATCCTCTTTTCTCTTTCTCTTTTCAGCATGAGAGCCAGAGATGGTTTTCCCTGAAATTTAATGTACGGGGGGCCCCCCTTCTCCATGGGATCAGTATCCACTGGTTCACATATCCATGGTTTGAAAAATATTAAAAATATAAAAAGAAGTCCTAGAAATCTATATTGCTAAAGGTCGAGTTACCAGAACTGGCCACTAGAGGGAGAAAGAGGCCATCTTATGTATAGTAATTTGCTATTAAAATAGTATCCACGATTTTCAGCATCCGCGGGGGAGCTTGGAATGCATTCCCCATGGATATAGGGGGTCCCCTTGTATTTTCCCCAGTTGTAGATGGGGTCGGGCTTCTGATTGTGTGAAAGGGGTGTTGCAAAGGAATGATCTAAGCGGTTTGCTCCCCCTTTTTCCTGCCGAAGAGGGGGGGCGGGCAGGGGGGCCTCCCAACCCCCACCCTCCTCCAGTCAGCTGCCTTTGGCCCACCTGTCAAAGATGGCGCCGACCCCCGCACTGTGGGCGCTGTTCCGATGGACGTGGAGCCCCGTGGCGAGCAGGATCCCGTCTTTCACAGCTATCGACCGGTGGGAGAAGGATGCAATTAGCAATTCGTTCCAGCCTGGAGAGAAAACCAAACACAGAACCGGGGTTGTGTGTGTGAAGAGAGAGCGAGAGCAACCCTTCCCTCCTTGGCCCTCTTCCCCTCCCCCGAGTCTGACACGGTCTCAGGTACCTGCATGGACCCCATCCCTCAGTGTCCAAAATCAACCCTGGATGTAGACAAGCGGCGTTTGAAGTCTCTCTCTCTCT